AGTGCTTCCAACGTTCCCGATCCTGTGCCAGAGTCTGAGCTTCGGCAAAAGACAAATGCGGTCTGGAACACACTCCTTCCATATATTTGCACCAGGTTAATTTTGGCCGTCCCCTGGGCCTTCTGCCGGTCGTTCACCATTTCTATATTTCATAAATCATGCATTGTTATATCGGATCTACTGTCTTTTTTGAGTTTCAGTCATCACTATCTGTCTGTTCAGAAGGAAGATAACGCAGATAAACACTTTTACATGTTTCTTCAGTAGTCGATGTAATTCGCTCGACTGTTCCATAGCACTTGCGTGATGTGGGTAATGGCATGAACTGGTCTTAATCGCCTGCCAACAGTTTGAATCGGCAGTGCCTTGCAACTTCTACTATTAAAGACTCCACCTCTTCTGCTCCGGGAACTGCTCCTTTTCCGGCTTCAGAATTGCAACAATCCGCCGAGCGAGTCTGTTGCGATGAAACTCCAGGCGGTTAGCCGATTAGAGATTTTAAGTAATGGGTCTTTGAATTATGTTTCTAGGACCAGAGGGCGTCAAGTCATGACCGGTCGAAGGACCTTCTAGCTCTGAACTTATGAACTGCCGCAGACGATCAGAAAGACTTCTGAATCTCATTCACCTCTTTTCCATGAAGAAGGCCCGTGAGACACAGACTGAAACGTTTGTACTGGCCAGTCGTCCAAAAAACCAAATTATTTCTGCTGTATTTAAGTAACTTGTAAACCATGTTTTGTGCAGTTACTGTAAAAGCCTTTTAAATCTGCTCAGAAATTAATTTTTGAAACTGTTCTCATATTTTGGCCAGGAATAGGATGAATCTTGAGTTCAGTGATTTATGTCTAGAGCTTAGTTACAACGAACCATCAGGGAAAATAATATTGTGCATTAAGCATAATGATGCCGGATTGAAACGGCGAAGGCACACTGTAAAGAAAGAAAAATCAATTTCTCAGTTTACACCGGCAGCTCTGCTGCACCGCCCCCTTGCTTCTAAACGCTCAGAAGAAACCATACTATTGAGCCGTGACCTGCTTAAATGGTCCCTCTAGTCGTTTAGAAGCAAGGGAGAAGCGCAGCAGAATTGCTGGTGTAAAGTGAGAAATTGATTTTTCTTTCTTTACAATGTACCTTCGCCATTTCAATCCGGTATCATTATGTTTAACGTAATATATTCAGCGGAGATATCGAAAGCACCTCCTAAACATCGGCGTCCATTTTGTCAACATGATATTTTATACGTACTGAAGAAGGTAAGATCTTCAGGGTAGCTACGTATGTTTGAGTGTGCTACCTGTACTATGAAAAAAGTGAGGCTGTTGCTAAGCGATTTACTTTGGATGAAAGCTAAGATTAGTTTGACAAGCGTTCAATACATTGTCGTCTGTCGGTTTTATGAGTCTCTCAGTTGTCTAACTTTTGCCTTTTAAAGAAAACTTTCATATTTTAAAAACTGTTCGAAATATTTGGGTGTACTGTAGCTCGATATGTAAAGTATGTACATTAGAAAATTCGTTTTTCCCTTATATTATTTATTGACTTTGACTCTTTAGAGGTCATCATATCGTACAGTAATCGACTTTCAACATTCGCATTATTTCCGTCATCCAAGTATAGGAAGGGCTGCATGTGGTGCTCCATGTCAGCGTATAAAAGAAAAACGAAGAGTAAAAGTTTGGGCCTGTCAAAGTTCCTAAAATTCGAGCTTGTTCGCCGATTTTCGAAAGAAAGTGACATTTTCTGCATATATGAAATTTTCTCTGATGATGCCTCTCTCAAGATCCTTACTCAGATTTTCCTTCACAATTTGATTATTTTACATCAGACGCTTTAAGAACCTTGACTTTAACCATTCCTGTGATCCAAAAGCGCTGCTGTTGAATGTTTCATTTTCTTCGTCTTTTGACCTGTCCTCCATAGCCGTGCTCATTCGATAGAGCGCCAAACCAGATGAAAAATCTCGTATCCGAATTCCGGCCA